ATATGCACACACGCACACACACACACACACACACACACACATATATATATAATACATACACAAAACACACACACACACACACACACACAGACACACACACACATATACATATTTATCTATATATATTTAGACAAACAGATACACACACACACACACACACACACATATATATATATCTGTGTATACACACATATAGTTCTACGTAGTACAATTCATTCTCGTGTTTGTTTGAAGTTAACACCTGTCTATATCTTATTGTACATGTCTTTTATTATAATATGATGTGAATTTGCAATATTCTGTCTCACACTTGATGATATCTTATAGCAAGTATTTTGTTTATCGATGTTTTGATCTATATATATATATATATATATATATATATATATACACATATATACCTATATATATATATATATATATATATATGTATATATAGTTTTACGTAGTACGATTCATACTCGTGTTTGTTTGGTATTCACACCTGTCTATATCTTATTATGTATGTCTTTTGTTTCTTTATTATAATATGACGCAATTTTGCGATATTTTTAGATCTTATTTTAAGTATGTTGTTTTTTGATGTTTCGGATTAATTTTTTAACAGGCGCATCTAATTGGTAGATATATTTATATATGTATCTTGCGACACAATACTGTATAATGCTGCGCGCCCATTCATCTTTGATGTATACTCAATATTTGGTCAAGGGCTCTTGTTCGCGCATGACGACGTTTTCATACCCTCACGTATCGATATTATTGCCAATGTTTATTGAACTGTAGGCAGAATGTCAGAATCATGCTGCTAGAACACAGCATACAAGTTTCTCAGAGAGCACAGAAGCAGTCAAATCACTGACACCAGAGGAAAAAGTCGCCAGATTAGCTGACTTAAAGGAGATTATGGCCGAGAAGAGGAAGACGAAAGAGGATGCCGAGCGCGCGGAGGTGTGTGTTTCTGGACACCACTCTGGGATAGTTTCTTTGTGTTCTCTTTTTAAGAAGAGTATATCCAGGCTTCACTGTATTCACGCCAAGTATGCGCTGAACGGTAGTCGATAATACTGTATATCTATGTTAACGATTGCGGTGTTATGGGCCGCTCGAAGTGAGCTGTATATGCATGAAGTTATGTGCAGCTCATACTAATGTTTTGAGAGTGTATCTCACAGTTGCTTACAAAAAGCTGAGTGGATTGCCAAGTCACTTGTCCGTCTCATATATACCTACACATCAATCTCAAGTTTTCTTAAAACGAAAAATCGTTCTTCTGTGGTTCATAACCATCAGTTGAATGTCGGCACCTACGAAGACTGCGCTTGATCGAGTACAATTATGTGATATTTTGCATATCCACATGTGTACGACAACAATGAATCACATTGTTTGCATGTGTATGTATGACTATTCTAGGAACATGTTACATATAAAAATATGCCACAGATCGGTTCGGAGGTCCATTTATATACACCACCGCATTCAGTGTCATATGTTGTTTCTGAGGGGTTATAGTATTCGGCAGTATGTTTTTGTGTACCTGTATTTCGAGTAAAAAATGCTTATTCTATTTTTTCGATGGAGAAACTCAAAGTCATCAAATCTATTCCCTATCTGATATGAGAATCAAACTTGGTCAACGGACTAATCACGCGACTGCTGATTTCAGGCCAAAGCGCGTGAGATGAAGCGAAGGGAAGAGGGGAAGAACATACAGACCGCAAAAGAATATTATCACAATCAACAAGCAGTACAGGCGGCAAAGGAGATGCGAGAAGCCAAGCTCGCAGACAAAGCAGCTCGTGATCGAGTCAAGCAAGAGATAGCCAAGGATAAGGCTGAGCGAATAGCGAGGGCCAATCGTAATGCACAGCCCAAGCACACACTTGGTGACGAGGATAGGGCTGGAACGACGGCGGAGGGGAAAGCAGGATCTGACCATGCGTCCACCTCGACTACGAAAGAGTATACTACTTGCCGGTTGCAAATTCGATTACCCGAGGGCCAACCGATTGTGCACACGTTCCAGGCAACTGACAACTTGAATGCTGTCTACGAATTCATCCAGTCTGAGAAGCCAGAATATGCTGAAGGTATTGCCTGCGTTTTCGATACATAAAGTTGATGTGTACATATACGTATTCCCATCGGTAACTGCTGTCATTATTCATTTTTTGTCTACTTTGTTGAAATTTTGTCAATCTTCAAATCGACCACCCCACCCCCGACGCACACTCCCCCTCTTATCTTTTTGTATTTGTACCTTCCTGCTCCACAGCGCCTTTCTCGCTAAGCACAACCTTCCCCCGACGCGTGTTTGAAGACGCGGATAAGTCGAAGTCACTGGTCGAGGTAGCGCTGGTCCCGTCGTCAGTGCTGGTCATGGCTCGGTTGAAGAATACAGATGACATGTGAAGTGCTATAGGGCAACCCGATCCCTCTGAGTACGCTGTGTGATCCCAATCTGAATAAAGAGTGCGTAATATCTGTGATTTAGTGGCTCGGGAAGCTATTATCAGTGGGTTTAATTTCGATATGGTTACTGGATGATAAAAACCACGGAAGGTTCTATGCAGAGGCCCGTTGCATCATCATGGAGCGTTGAATATCTCGTCCTACGGACTTAAGTCCGTTGTGGTATATTTTTATTCTCTAGAGGGTCATGATATCTCTCGAGGTTTTTGACGCTACCTGAATTTTGGTATCTCGGAAGTATTTCATGAAATCACCGACACATCGCTTGTACGAAGTCATAAATTATAAGTAGCGAGCATATTCACAATCATATATACCATCTTTATTTAATTAGTTCATATCGCTCTTAAACGATCTCTTTTCGAATTCTTTCTTCTTGTACCGTCTCTTGTATGTGATCTTCTTACGTACTTCCATCATGTTTCTACTTTGCATACTCTTGAACCGGTCACTCATGAGATTACTTCCAGTCTTCATAGTCCGTAACGATCCACTGAGTTCCTCTGGTAATTGCACGTCCAGTGGTGTCTGCACAAACATGTGCTTGCCTAGTTTCTTGGGTTTAGTCTCGAGGATCTCTCTAGCTTCCTGGGCCTTTACAGCTGCGGCTGCTTTCGCCAGCTCGTCTTCTGCAACCTCCTTTTTCAAAGTTTTTAATCTGCATTTCGAGTCGTAAGTAGATGGTTGGTTGAGTGATTCGTGTAGTATTGTCAATCTCCTACACCAGTTTATATATACAATCTATCGGAGCGCAGAAAAAAAATCAAACGCGCCACACGTCGTGAAGTTAGAAATATTAGTAAAACTTTAACCTATTTAATCCGATGAGATTTAAGCATACCTGTTCAATTCATTTTTGGTCATTTTCTCCGCCTTGCCGATAGCACGCGCACGTGCCTCCCCAGCCAAGAGCTTCTCCTTGTTCTTCTTGGCCGTAGTTTTGCGCACTCCCAATAACGCTTTATTTTTGTGTGCCGGGATGGTGTAGTCGGTTTCACTTTGTGCGCCCAAGTCATCGTCACTGCATATTCGTGGGGATATTGGAGGGTCAGTTCAAGCCATACACACACTATATACATACACAAGCTACAATTGTACAGTAAGCATCAACATGCACAAGTCAAGCTGTATCGCAGATATACAACTTGAGCAACTGCAGCATGGCGAGCGCAGTGTGTGGGTCCCCTTGATTGTCTAGAACTGAATGCAAGAGTTATCCACGATACGACTGAAAGTATGCATAAGCGCTACAGATGATAAAAAAAAGCACGACACACCAGCAAGACGCATCGCAAGCCCACAGGCGGTTTATCAGCATACTCAACAGCTCGTGCTCGGAATACATATAAGACGAGTCTTGCCTGGTGCACCTCACGTAATGAATTTCTCACAGATTATATCGGGAAGACAGCTCAACATGAAGCTCGTATCTAGCTTAAGAGCAAGTATAGATTGAAGGTTCTACAGGCACTTGTATACTCAATAGCTCACTATACATCTTCATATATTAAACTATTGATACGAACAGTTATAGCAATATCTATATTCACAACGTGTTTACTCAAATGTGACCGTGTGAATCGGAGTTCCTACAAAAATTCCTTGAAGAACTGCTTAGCGGTACATCACATGTAAAAATGCGGTAATAATTGCAGATGATAACAGGATTTTACCATAAGTTACAAATATGACGTACACGTATCAGGTATGTTCTGGATACAACATTTTTCATGCATTGGCCCATTCACATCATGTGTGTATGTACATGATAAGCTTGTATACATGTATGTATGTACATGATAAGCTTGTATACATAAATGTATGTACATTATAAGCTTGTATACATAAATGTATGTACATTATAAGCTTGTAAAATGTCTATTTTAGTCCCAGGATTAACTCTGTAGCACAACACTTTCGAGTACACCCAGAAAAGATATCTTCAATTCGCACAAAAGTATCAGGAGACAGACAGTTCAGCCTTTCCATGCAGAAACCTGCATCGATTTGTATGTACGCTACAGTAAATACCACACATCTGTACATAATTTTGCACATAAGTACGAGGTTTGAAATCACACTCATAAAGTCGTGCATCCAATCGCACGAGTGTATATAAACGATGTACAATAATATCGACATATTGCCATGTGTATTGGAGAAGATTATGATTGTGCTCTACACATAAATCGATTGGAATGCAACAAGCACATGAAGTCAGATACACACTGTAGCTTTCGCAACAAAAAAAAACGTGATTCTGGACACAGTATTAAACACACCTTTCAACCGGCACTATCTTCATCTCTTCCAGATAAGTGCTATATGACATGATCTTCGTAGCAGACGCACCCGCCTTCTTCTTGTAGAAGTTGTTCTTATCGTTCTCGCGTATAATCAGCTCAGCGGCCGAGTCCAACGCCCTCTGGTGATCATTTACCGTAGGGTTATAACTCTGACCAGGGTGTGCGAGCTCTACAGCCACAGCTCCTTTAATAAGATCTGACTCCATTGTCTTGGGCTTAGTCAGAATTACCTTAGCCTTAGGTACTAATTCTCCCAGATGATTTACTATCTCTGTATCCTCCCCCTGAGCTTCCCACAGGTCGCCCTGTCTACTCGTAACCACACTCTTTACTTTCTTCTGCGTTATGCCGTTGGATTTGATAAGACTGCTGGTAGGGGGTACCACAACATTGTCACTAGCCATCGCATTCTTCTTCGCGTTTTGCACTGTCTTCTGTTTCTTTGCAAAGACAGGCTTAGTGTGTGCATGCGGTTCCAACGCAGCGTGATTGCGCAATGTCTTCTCTCTGTTTCGCTTCTTGCGATCAGCCACCATGGACATAAGCGCAACCGAGGGCTTCTTATCTATAACAAACAAAGACTCGTTACTCTTCCCATCTACTGCACCACCCATCAACTCATCTTTGAGCTTCTCATCTTGGCCGTGTAGCACATCGCTCACATCGACAAACTTGCGCCAGTTTTTCTTATTGTTGCTGTATTGCTTCTTCTTGCCTGTCTTGGACACTCCAGCGAGAGGGTTTCCTAGATGGTCTGTAGGTGCGACTTCAGTGTGTTCAACCATAGCTGCAGGCATTATTCACTAACACAACTCGGTGAATAATTAATACTCGATACGCTTTATGCCGCGAGGGATTTTATTCATTATCAATGATAATCAGACTGTAACGTGTTTTTTTTTTTGGAATATGTACACGTGCAATGCCCAAACTCTATCCTCGTCTACCACCGCTTGCCTCCCTAAAGCGAAAACGTACTTTGTCTCGCGGATAAACGTAATATGTACTTTTTTCTCTCATTCTTTTCGCGTGGAGGAAATAAAATCCTAAGTCATGACCCTCAGGGCCTGGGCCTCGGTATGGCATCCCGTACCCCACGGCCTTACTGTGGGGGCCATACCTCAATGTACACTCTGCACACACAGGTTGGCCAGATGTTAATACTTAGGGGTATATAGATATATCTGTATATATTTA